ATGCTGTGCACCAGAGGGGCAGGGTTTGGGCGTGGCCAGAGAGCACGCCGCCAATTCGGAGCCAGTGGGGCAGAGCAAGGGAGGGAGGAGGCGGTGTCACGCGGGCAACATGGGAATTTACTACTGCGTAATAAAGGTCGTCATGTCTTCACGTGCCAATGTGGAGTCCATGCCTCAGTCGTTGCTGGGAGAGGATGAAWGGCCCCCTGAACGCTTAGTGGAAGTGCGTGGACTGGCTACCTATAGGCACCAGATGGGATTTGGGGATATCAAGCCCCAGTTTATATGCTAAATCATATTATAATGTTCCAAGCAGTTGTAGAAATAATAACTAACAAAATTGCTTGGGCACTGGAATTAAAAGCAAACCAACAAGGACAAGCAAGAGCTGCAGTGTATCAGTATGAGTTGGCTTTAGACTTCCGTCAGAGACTGAAATGTTATAGTTTATGACTTAAACATTTTCATGATGGATTTTTTTGCCTATTATTACAAAACTATACAAAAGTTGCAGAGAAAGCCACCAAAATCTTGAATGGGACCTTGGCTACACTGCTCACTGTCCGCTGATCAAAGATAAGATACAGAACAACTCAGAGCTGGGGAGAAGATCACATTCACTAAGGGACCACACTTAGCACCTTTTAGTGGGGTTTGTTCCCCCAGGGCTATCACTTGTCAGACCAGCACAGACCCCCACACCACAGGGTGGGGAGGGGAGAAGAGAAGCTTTGGGTGTGCCTGTGGTCAGAGGCAGAGAAAYGCCTGTCCTCTGCTGTGCAAAGGAGCTGAGCTGTGGGGCCTTGCATTCTGGGACAAGCTTATCCATGTGACAGTCAAGGGACTGTCATGGCACATCATAGACCCCCCAAAGGGGTCCCCAGACCCTATACCAGAGATGATGCAATAAATCCACAGTGTTRCAAGGGACAGTGTCAAACCAAGCCCCCTGGAGGGATGACACGTGGGCATTCCCAGCTGGCCCAAAACATATATTAATGCACTGGATTCTGTACTCTTAAGTGTGGTGGTGTGGCAGCAGCGGTGGGGAGCTGTTGTGGGTTAAGATTTTCTCCTTCTGCTTCCTTTCTTTGGGATTTTTTTTCTTTCCCATTTTGTTGCTGGGATACACTGATTGCTAGGCCATCCTTTTGATGGGTGGGCGATTAGTGAAGACAATGGAACCTATGCCCCACCTAAACGATCTTGCTAAGCCCTGGGAGGGGGTGTGTTTGTGTGGTGGGGGGTAACTTCACTTCCTTCACTGCTTTGCAGAGAGAAGGAGGTCTACCCGCTACCTGCTTGGGGGGGAGAGGTGGCCTGCGCTTTTTCTGCGGAGTCCAGCATCTCCGCTCATTGGGTTCCTGTTTGCTGCACTGTGATCTTCTCCCCTGTGCCTTGCCAGGGACCTCCTGAGATTCCAGCTTCAGGGGTGAGCTCTTCTCCATCCCGTCTCACAGCCRTGGGATTCTGCTAATCTCTTTGCTGTCCTGGGGTTTCTTGCTGTCCAGAGGAGCACTGAGATCGGCATTTTCCAGTGTGAGTTTTGCTGACGAACTTTTCTCCATCCATCCCTTCCATTATGTGTCCATCATTGTCGACACGGGAGATCTGAGCCAGCCGGGACCCGCGCCACAGCGCCCCCTGCAGCCGCTGGGGAATCATTGCACCTGCCTTGCCCAG